ACTACGAAAAGACTAAAATACGTAAATTATTCACATGTATGTAGTAATATTTAAAATAAGACATAGGATAGTCTTATTTAAACATACCTGGAAGGTGCGCTATGCCAGACATAGCGAGGCTTAGGCCTGGGTAACTGAGAGAATTTTTAGGAGTTGGCGCAGTGCTGCATTCTAGCTTCGAATTTGGAACAAAAATCAAACAATTTTCTACCAAAAAACGAACAGAATAGCGAAATCTGTTATAAACTATAACAGATTATTTGGAAATATCGTTTCCATTCCTCTGAAGACTGTAGAATTTGTTAAAACATGTGGTTTTTTAGTTTTGACTGATTTTTTTGCCATTTAATCTGCATACTAATCCTGGTGCTTACTATATAACAGCGATGGGGTAAATGACGAGCGAGATAATTGCAAGTATGAGCCCAATCCAGATCAACTAGACACAGATCGGGACGGTTTGGGGGACAAATGTGACGAAGACATTGATGACGATGGGATACCGAACGATCGCGATAACTGTGTCTATCGCTACAACCCCGATCAAGCAGATTCCGACCGTAGGCAAACCTCACGCATTGTTAAAGCATCCACTTTACCCATACATGTTTGCAGGTAACGGCATTGGAAATATATGCCGGCACAATACAGATCCGGATGATGTTCCCGATAATTTCGACAACTGTCCCAACAACAGCCTGATCTACAGAACGGATTTCAGTAAATACCAAACGGTAATCCTGGATCCCATTGGTGAATCGCAGATAGATCCCAATTGGGTAATAACGCATCAAGGAGCTGAAATTTCTCAAACCATGAACAGTGATCCAGGCTTGGCTGTCGGACATGATGTCCTGACTGGCGTGGATTACGAAGGAACTTTCTTTGTGGACACTGAAATCGATGACGACTATGTGGGGATTGTTTTCAGCTATCAGGACAACAGGAAATTCTACACGGTGATGTGGAAGAAGAATCAGCAGACGTATTGGCAGCCAACCCCATTCCGAGCCGTGGCTGAACCTGGAATACAGATTAAGCTAGTAGAGTCTGAAACAGGGCCAGGCACTCACATGAGAAACGCTCTTTGGCATACCGGAGACACTCCCAAGCAGGTGAAACTGCTCTGGGTTGATCCAAAAAATGTGGGCTGGAAAGAGAGGACGCCTTACAGATGGATCTTGATCCACAGGCCCCTGATTGGTCTGATTCGGCTCAATATTTTCGAGGGAGAGCAGATGATTGTCGATTCTGGAAACATATACGACAGCAGTCTTACAGGAGGACGCGTAGGCGTATTGTGCTTCTCACAGGAGGCGATCAGATGGTCTGATCTGGCCTACCGTTGCAATGGTATGTTGATCACTTGACCGTTACCAAGTCATACAAATATTGAATGATTTAGATAATCTGCGGGAGGAAATCTACAATGAGCTGCCGCATTCATTGCGCGGCCGCGTCCACATTGACAACACAATCTACCAGCACATTCAACAGCAACCGTTCCCTTGGAACAACTAAGCTACCACCAGTGTAGTCAGTCATAGAATCAGCTACTAATTGACTATCTGTACTTACTGCGTAAATGTTACATATTCGTGTACTAATATCCAAAAATAGTGTTGTATTAATAAATATGGATGAGACGAATTTAAACGAATCTTAACGAAACCTCTTTCAGCTCCATCTTGAAGACATTTTAGGCCGATTCGAATTTTCATAGAGTAAAAATTTTTTTTACTCTAATTTAAAAAAAATTTAACCGGCAAGTGCCAGGAGGAAAATGTTGTTGGGGATCCGACCTTAAGAAAAAATTGCCGCAAATCGCAAAAAACCGTTTTCAAACCCGAACCTGCGTCCCCATTTTACTATTTCCAGTGTTTCCGTGTTTATTTTATTTCTTCTTAAAGTGGGAACCTCGACAACATTTTCTACCTGGTTCTTGCCTGTTATTAATTTTCTCTTCAAAAAAATAATTTGCAGTAGTTTAATGTTATATTAATGACACCAACTGATTACATTGATTCTTCTAATTGTTGTTTAAAAAATTGGGAAGAATTTCAAAAATTCTACTGAGCCATCAGGGTGACGAGTTTTCCAAATAGTTGATTATGTGCTATTGTTTTCTCTGATGGTTTTTTACCTTAATTAAAAAAAACAGGAGAACTTTGTTTCCTTCTCAGAATCATCTTGAATCTTCAGAGCGGTGAGCGATGAGCGCTGAATTTTCCAAACAATTTTTGGTAAACTTTTGCTCTCTGGCCGTTTTTTCAAGATAATCTTAATTACCTTCGGTGAAAAACTGAATAAAATTATTCGAAGCTAAAATGAGTTTTCGAAAGTTCCCTGCAACCCCATGAATGAGGCGAATTTTCTACCAAATCAATTTGGCAATTTTTGGCTGAAAAGACCCCATTTTTGTCAGAAAAGAAGAAAATATTCAGAAAATAATGTTTTTTTTTGCGTTTTCCGCGAAAACCTTAATGGTTTTCTTTTTGTCCCGAATTCGACGCTGAAAAAGTGTTTGCAAACTTTCTACAAAGCCCGACACTTCACATTGGAAGCTTCTGAAGTGCCTTCAGAATGAATTTTTAAACTTTGTAATTTTTTGGCCAATTTTCCATTTTTACACGGGTCTGATATAATTCCTCACATCAACTATCCTTTATCATTATCAGGCTTAAGTTTCAGCTCTTCAGCTCGCACCATTCCAACAGCATTCAGATCCATCGGATGAATCAGCTGTTCTGTTAATGATGTTCTGTTTGCTTTCGATGATGTCGATGATTTGTTGCTCGATTTTCGATATTTCTTCGTAAACCTGCACCGGCTCTATGCTCGTTTTGGCCACATCTTGACCTTCCGTGATCATCTTCCGCTTGTACCATAGATAAAGACGAGTTTCCTTCGAAGCAGCAGCGGAAATCTCTTCGGTATCTTCAATTTCCACTTCCGCTTCTTCATTTGCGGGCTCCGAACTTGCATCGTCATCCACAGGTTTATCCACATCTACAAAAATAATGTTATAATATTTTTGTGCTAGGAATATGTCTGAACTTTGTTGATAACGTGAACATGATTTGAGTACATTGAAAACTGCAATTTTGTGCGATATTTTGCAGTGAGCCGAATTTGGTTCCATTTAATACACCAGTGCCTTCAGAATGAATTTTTAAACTTTGTAATTTTTTGCGCAATTTTCCATTTTTACACGGGT